GGAAAGAATTCCAAGCTACTTCTGGTAAATCTACAAAAGAGGGTCTCCTGCTGGGTACGAGGACGTAGTAGAATTCTATAATTGTTCCTGTGGCAATAATTGGAGTCAAGTCTCATCAAGAACTACGCTTGCTCTCTGGCTCCACTTGGAGGCATGAAGAGAAATCGGGGATAAAAGCTGGGATAAATCATTTGAGATTAGTAATAGCCTGATAAAAATAAAACTGACCATAATTGTCCATGCTGACAAACCCAGTACTTGGCAACTACCATCCATCCATGCCTGTTACTGTTACCAGCATGAGTGCCTCAAAGGGGAGAGCAGAGCACCTTATCAACAAAGAACTATATAAGCATTACCTGACGATATTAGGACTGTCAATTTTTTTCTTTTAAAGTAAGGAAATCAATCTTCAATTCTTCTCTGATCAAATTCTATTATAACAAGTTCTAAAGGATAGTCCACAAGGTTCTGCCTTTTGGATTTTTGCTATACTGAATTATCAATCTATCAAATTTTGGGAGATCTTTCATCATATGGATATTTTCATTGTAACAGCATTTGTGCAAGAATTTCATTGAATTTTAAACTAAATTTTTCTGCCCATCCAAATAAATTTATTTTCTGTAATTTAGTATTTTTAGTAATTTAGGCTGCCATCTCCTTTTATGTGAAATTGTTTGAACACTTTCAACCTATAGTATGACTACTACATGAACAGAGGCCCAAAATTTATTAAAATCACCCAATATTTTTTGTCATATCAATCTCTCACTTCAGTAAATTTTGCGATTTATTTGACAGTCTATACCTCTTAAAAACACACAAACACACTCACCATGCACAACAGAGAAGAGATCAAATACTTCTTTTGGTTCAAATAAGAATATAAATAAGGAGATAAAGTGATTCTTCCCATGGTCTTTGAATAAAATAGATTATAATAGAGAACTGTCACCAATCAGCAAATGGTATCTAACCAAATCAACGTGAAGAGTTAACAACGGTTTAATAGAAGCCTCTGAGCTTCATTATAGAGTATTAGCACATCGCTGAGCATGGAAAAATGGTACACACACAGACACAAACTTACACATGAATTTATGCATGTGGGTGTGTATACATATATTTTTAAACATACTTCTGATGTTTCCACTGAGAAATTCATTAACCTGAAGAAGTTTTGAGAAAGACATCTTTAACAGACCATTTCAAATTTCTTTTTATGTATTTTAGTATATTTCCATAGAAGTCGCAAGCTATGCACAACTAAGCTAATTCTAACTTCCCAAAAACATGTATCTTCCCAAACCAGGGTTCTTTAGTGAAAACAGTTATCTAATACAAAATTTAAATCTAGGAATTATTAGTAAGATTTTTCTGGTAAATTTCAATAGCTGAGAGACAGTGGGGGAAAAAACCTGAAATCATGTTTCTGCATGAAAATTAAAAAGCTGAGTACAAGCTAGTCAGTTAATATAGTAAAATCTCACTAATCTGAAACTCACTGAGGGATAGTCTAAGGCACACAGGGTCAAAAACTGAACTGACAAAGGAAAAAAGCATTTCTCCAATAGGAGGCTACTTTAACAGAGAACCAATTATTCTAAACCAATAAAGTCCAACTGAATGAGATTTCACTCTATTTCATAGCAGCTCCACTATTATGTGACACTACTAATTATCAAACACACTCAATTCCAAAGACAACTAACTGTCCAGGTTCAGCTGCCGCAACCTAAAAAGGAAAACACTGTCATCTTCACAGAAAAGACTACCAGAAAGCAAAATAAAACCATCATTTATTAAAACAAACATACTCATAAGTATAATATATATAAATAAAAATGGAAATGTTAAGAAAACAAAATAATGTAGGTTTTAAATATAAGCAGCAGTAAGTATGAAAAATATATTATTTGCCCATTGTGACTACCACATGAGTTATCCTCAAAACCAGCAGATCTAAAAACAATGCTTAGGCCAAATCAGAGAACAACTTTCAAATTAAATAAACCCAAACAAACAAAAGAAGTCAAACCTCTTCTTTCTATAAAAATTCAACTCTGATAGTAAGAACACTTTTCCACTGACCAAAATCCACTAAACTAGATTACTAAAACAGCCATCTCTCCAAGCCTAATCTCTTTATTGTTACATTGATCATTCCAAAGCATGGATTTCAGTATGACCCTCCTTACTCAAAAAACCTCAGTGCTACCCCCAACTCGACTTCCTCAGTGCTTAAAGGAGGCCGAGTGAAATTCCTTAGCCTGACAAGCAAGGCTGTCCATAATATGGCTCCAGCCTTCCTTTCTGGCTTCTTCTCAGTATTCTCCTAGAGGAACCTTCACCTGTCAAATTACCTGACCCACTGACTTCAGCATATCTTGTGCTTTCATAATTCACAAAATATTTTATCCTCCTTAGATTTATTAACACTGTGGAAAGCAAAGCACAATTTTCTAAATAAATTTAAAAGTTCGTAAGAATTAAATGTATGCAAACTTTACATATTTTAAGAAAATAAGTTAATTTCTAGTTGTTTACTACCTAAAATGATTGGGATAAAGAAAAGGTAAGTTAAAAAAAAAACCCACATCTTCTCTCAAGATTTTAAAATACCCATATGGCAATGCTTCATTCAATTTTTGACTAAAAACTCTCAAGTGAAAGAACTGGTTCTGATAAGACAATAGCTTTGGAAACCCTGGAGAATTTACAAATAATTGAACTCACCTGATAATATTTTATGATTCATCATCAGGGCCCAATCTATTTCTTACCTACGTAGGCCAGTAAGCTGCCACTACTTTTTATAGGGAAAAATCATTCTCTAATACACTCCAGAAATTTTCAGAAAATTTTAAGTTGTTTTAAAGGAAAAATACCTTTACTTTCATAACCATAAATAATATATTAACTTTTGTCTGTTATCAACACATTTCTGAGTCCTGAAGATATCCTAAACCTAAGAAAAAAAAACTTTCTCAAAAAATACCATGATAACTTATTTAAACTAAACCACCGGATTAAAATCAACTAGAAAACCATAGAATAAAGACAATTCTCTAAATCCTAAGTCCCTTTGCTAGGACATTTACCTTTCGTGGGAACACTGCCTGACATTTATGAAATAATAAAACAAAACAAAACAAACAAACAAAAAAAAACTTCTCTCATGAAAAAGAAAACACCAAATGCCAAGAATTAGTTTAAAAATTTCAGAGAACAAAGAAAGTGTTTACCAACTTGGTACCTATGGTAAATCAGTTATTTAGTGGAGACACTGACAATTGCACAAAAAAGAGAGTGGGCAGCACCTGAGAGATCAGATCATCACTGAACAAGGCTCAGGGACCTTGAGCTAAGAGCTCAGCAGCCTGAAGGTCTACAGCACAGGTAGAAGAGAAGAAAGGCAAGAATAAAAAAAGGAGACAGAAGAAAGAAGGGAGTAGAGGGGATAAGGATTGGACATAAGGACAGAAAGAAGGAAAAGGATACAGGAAGAAGAAAAATCAACAAAAAGAGAGAAGAACTTGTTGAGGTAGAGAAAAAAGCTTGTCTCAGGGATATTAGTCTCAAAAGTAATATACCACTGACACTAGAAACCTCCCAAGGAGGTTGGAGTTGCCCAAGAAATGATTTTAACAAAGTTTTAGGAAAATCCCTCATCTGAGAAAACCCAATTCTTGAGATGAATTGAATCCAGAATATCTTTTTTGAATGTTTTCAAACTATATTCCTTTATTATACTTTATTATAGTCACTATAACTTATAAAATTTTGAGTTTTAGCTAGAATTTGTTTGATACGATGGAAACTTAAATTTAAATTAATACTTGTCTTATAATCCTCAAGTGAAACATCAGTACTTTTCGTTTTGTTTTAATAAAATAGCTTCTGGTGATTTACAGCAATATCGTAAAGAAGAAAAACCTGAAAAAAAGTTACTGAAACATAAAACTTCTGAAGTAAAATGTGTCTTAATCCAGGTACCTATGAAAGTCATGCAAGACATAAACAGATAGGATCCGAAACAAGTATTTTGTTTTAAAAGGTGCAGAACTAAAAGAATTGGTGAGGCGAATGGGCCTGGAGCAATTAGAAATATAAAAATTATCTCAAGGACAGGCACTTAGTAAAAATCTGGCATTAAGAAGAGTTAATGAGATGCCATTAGGGCACAAGACACAAAAAGTTTAAGATTTTGCTTTTGCTTGGTCTCTCCAAACAAAACAGAGAAGTCTCCTGGATTGGTCCCCACACCCCCAGAAAGCTAGGACTCAGGGCTGAGGGGATATTAGTGAGAATTCTTTAAAGCTGTTTGAAGCTCTGAAACCAGCATTACAGACTCCGATTACCTTTCCATGACATAAGGAAGCTTGTGTGAGCTTAGAATCTCTTCACAGCTTTTCCTTATACCATTCCTTTGACTGGAAGGACTCAATAACTAAACAATAATAGGCACTTGGTCCTTTTCCTTTTGACCTCAGAATATGTTTTTAAATTTGTCCACCAGGTAAAGGCACTTCTCACAACTGATCCATGCCATGAAGGTTTTATCACAAAGTATCTAACCATGTGGTAAATGCTTAATTTAGCCAGAACAATTTCAGAACCATTCCATGTCTAAATTCTGTTATCAGAGCTGTCACTGAGAGGTCTGGGTCTTTCAATCTGGTACTCTGTATGTTTTCTCTAATTGTTTATTTTCTGCTAATTTCCAACTGCCTTATACTGCCACTACCCTTCTACACCGTCCTTCACCTTCCTACTAAATGCACAGACACACACAAAAAGAATATCAGTACCACTCTGTATGCATGTATTTCGTACACACACACACACACACACACACACACACACACATTAAGACACATGACAAAAGCCCCAGTATCAGTTAAACCAAAGAGAAAAATATAACATTGCAATGTAGGACTAAATCCATTTATTCTTATTTCTAACACAAAACAAAACTGTGGTTAGTTACAACTCACCAGATGGTTCTTCAGGCTCACTTTCATTTTCTTCCTCAGGTGGGGCTTGAGGGGGTGGTGGTGGAAGCTTCTTTTCCTTCTCTGCTTTAGCATTTCTCTCTTCTTCTGAATAATACTCATCTTCTGAGAGGTTGGCCAAGCTTTCATCCATCTCTCTGTACTCTACCTATATGGAGATTATACCAGGGAAAGCTAAATACAGTGAACATCTAAAATTAGGGACTCTATTTGGAACCATCAACAAATGAGAATTGCTTTCTGACTTCAAATTTTAAGGGAAATAAGCAAATAACAAGAAAAGCTCATAACAGGCAGTTATTAAAAACAAAACATTCATGAAAAAATCTTGTGTCAGTCCAGATTTAGCCCAATCTATAACTTTTACATCATAGCGCTGACATTCAGATCAATGACGTCGAGGCTCTACAACCCCTAAACTTAAAACACACTCACAACACACAAGTTCACTATATAGCACATACTGGAACTTTCAACAAAAGATTAAAATAACCTTCAGTTAAACAAAAATATAGTTAACCAGAATAACTAGTCTGTCTAATGCTAAGCTTGTGCTCCTAATTACTATTCCATGGGAAAATAACAAAAGAATTCCAGAACCTAAATGGAGAGAGGGGAGATATAGAAGTTGCAAATAGCAACAGTCCAATTGAAACTATGAAAATGTGTATTGTTTAAAAAATATTTGGTGACCTAAGAGAGCTGAGTGATGAGCAAAGAATCCCTGTTATAACAAATTAAGGAGTAAGTGATGTGGAATGGAAGCTACAGGTCCTACCACTAATTTACACTCTGGTTAAAGGCAAGTGAATGAGGTCAGTAGTAGAAAGAGGAAAACATTTTAGTGAACTTTTATTGGGGTTAAAGGAGCGTAGGATAGGGAAGATTATCTTATGAACCTGTTTGTCAAAACTGCCACAAAGGTATTACAAAATAGTCACCAACATAGGAACGCTGGTAAATTGTCAGTGTGACTCGCACCCTAATATACATTCCACGAAGCCATAGAAACTGCAGCTCTCTAACTATTATGGGTTCATTGAAAAGGTGAAACGACTAAAATAAAAATAATTTATTAGGCATGGAAATACAGTAAAGACAACATGGTTTCCACATAACGTACCTAATTTATTAGTTTTCTAAAATGAATAAATGAATAGTCCTGCGGATATAATCTAGTTTAACTTTCAAAATATCTTTGAAATGCTTCCAGATGAATGGCTGATTGTATTTATTTATTTATTTTTTAAATATCATGACCTCAGAATTTGGAAGGGGAGCTGGTAGCTAGTGGAAGTAGAAGAGTTTTACTGAAAACAGGGATTGGGTTAGAAAATGGAACAAAAATGAAGGATTAACTGACTAGCTATGATCCCTGATCTAAGAATCTTATTTAACATATAATTGTATTCATCTACTCAAATAATGAACACTAATACTATGGCACAATGGAGAAAATATTTATGAATGAAAGTGCTCTTGCCCTAAAGAAGCTGAAAATCTAGTTGCAAATAAATGATCCTGATCAGGTGAACATTTCATAGACGGACTTTACAATAAAATCTCCAGAAATGTAGATGATACTAAATTTATGCTAACTGACTGAGATAAACTGTAAGAGCAAATCTCAGGACAGGGGCTGCAAAAGCAGGAACGAGGGAAAAAAAATACTTGAAAAGAGAAGAAGGATTTAAAAAAGGTAATATATTACCTCCGTGAACAACTGCTTCCTTTGCCGTGAGACCAGACAACTTGGATGGTGCCTGGCTACCATTACTGAACATTCTGATCAAAGATTCTATAGAAGAATCTGATCAAAAGGGGGAAAACGCAGGACAGAATTTCAGATTCTCATGGAATCCAGACATTCTGGAGCCATAAAGGCTGGAAGAACCCCTGAAACTACTACCCTGAGATAACCTTTAAACCTGAAACCAAAAATATCTCCTGAAGTCTTCTTAAAATCAAACAGTAGCTTAACTAGTAAATAATGTCAGCCTTGAGCATTGTGCTCTTTTAAGATCTATCTATGTGGGATCAAACTGACAATAGCAACTTGAAAGATTACATAGGAAGTTAGGCGGCAGTGAGTTTGTTAATGAGAGAGGAACAGCTGGGAAAAGCAGGATGAGAACGGTTGTACAACTTGAAGAATGTAATCAATGTCACTGAATTGTAGAAACTGTTGAATTGGTTTATGTATAGTCTGCTGTGTATATTCTCAACAACAACAAACATAAAATAAATTATATTTTAAGATATCTTGTATTTGCTAAAAAAAAAGTAATATGTTTATAGTACGCAGTTTTCTTTCTTCTTTTATCCCTCATCACTGCTTGACCCCTCCCTATCCCAAAGGTTCAGTCCTTTGATCCCCTGCCTATCAATCCTATTCATCCAATAATCATTTATTGAATGTACAGTGTGCAAATGGATGTGCAGTCTGAACAATGTGCAAATTTTAAGACAAACAGAAAGAGTAAGATCCTTTCTACTGCTGTAGTTCAACTTTCCCCAAAGATGTTCCATAGGACACTATGCCCTTTGAAGGAAAAAGGGATTCAGGACCAAGCTTGGGAAACACTGAATTCTTTATAGGCCCCTTCTAGGAGAGTCACAATGCACATTGTAAGTCCTCAGAGTTTTGCAGCAGAAAAAAAAAAAAATTTTTTTAACATTGTTTAATCCAACGCTTTGATGAAGTAATAAAAGAACACATCTGGAAAAGGCTGGTCTAGAAAAGTTCTTAGTCTTCATGAAAACAGAGATTAGAAAAATACCTAAATGTATGAGTAAGAACATCTAAAACTAGTATGTAAAAAACAAAAAAAGTCCCATCGAACCCTAAGGTTCTTCAGGGTTTCATTTATTAATTTTAAAATGTATTTTAAGAAGAAATACACACTTGTATGTGTTAAACCAAATCTTGACCCTTCTGAGACCACCAACACATTAACCTATACCACCTGGGTAATCAATTTTGGGTAGACCTAAGAATGATATTTCTTATGCCATCTCTGTCCAATGGATACAGTGTCCTGAGATGTCAGGGCAAGCTTTAAAAATAAATAAATACCATTTGCACTGCTTATCATGTGAATCAGGACTAGATCTTCACAATACTTCATGAACAAAACAAATTCAGAAATAAAACTAGATTTTGAGGCTGAAACAAGACTATGAATATCATGCATAATTTCCAATCTCAAATACAGTTTCATCAAAATAGCCTCATTTTCTCATAAACTGATAACAAAGATAAATGTTATAAATTTAAACCTCTAATAGAAAACAAGCAAGAAGTATTTTATTTTGGAATTTCACCTAACATTTTATTTGGTAAAAATGGGTTTCCATGCTCAACACAAGTTTAAAGACCATCCAAAAGAATCATACAAACTCTGAAAAGTAAAAATTACTTCCCTGTGAAAAGGAATAGATATTTTTAACACAAAGGACTAGGAATCTCTCCTACCCCAGTAAAAACCTCAGAGACTTCAGAGGTCCGACAATTACATACAACCAAGGACGTAAAGATGTCCCAATAAGACTGTGAGTCAGTAGTGTAGTTATGTATTCTTACTTTTATACTGATGACTCCCAAATTTACATCTCTAGTCTCTTCCTTCTCATCCCCACCCACAGAATGATTCATTCACTCCCCAATCACCATAATGCTCTACTCTCTTTTGTTTTTATCTTTCTCCCTTTTAGTTCATCTAGGGCACAGCTGCCAGATTAATTTTACAAATACATGATATCTTCAGATAGCTTATCAGATAATGGCTCAATTTTTCGAACTAGCGTATAAATTCTTATTTAAACTTCTCTCTAATCACTTCCTAACATACTAGAAGTTGTTGAATTGGTGAATATATTTTCACCATAATTTAAAAAAATCTATAGAGATAAAAAAAAGTTAAACATAGTTACCCTATGACCTAGCAATTCCACTCCCAGGCACATACCCAAAAGTAATGAAAACATATGTTCACACAATAATTTATACATGAATGTTCATAGCACCATTATTCGTAATAGTCAAAAGTAGAAAATAACCCAAGTGTCCATCAACTGATGAACAGAAAATGTGGTATATCCATACAATAGAATATTATTGAGCCATAAAGAGGAATGAAGTACTGATACGTGTTGCATGAAAACATGCTAATACCAAACACAAAAGGCCATATATTGTATAAATGCATTTATAGAGAGAAGCCCTGGTGGCACAGTCGTCAAAGCAATGGCCTGCTAACTGGAAGGCAGGCAGTTGAACCCCACCAGCCACTGTGCAGGAGAAAGATATGGCGGTCTGCTTCTGTAAAGATTTACAGCCTTGGAAACCCTATGGGGCAGTTCTATTCTGTCCTGTAGGGTTTCTGTGAGTTAGAATTGACTTGACAGCAGTGGGTTTTGGTTTGGCATTTATATAAAATGTCCATTACTGCCTGCCTGGGACTGGGGGAGAAGGGGAGGGGTGGGGAGTGACTGCTCCTGAGTATGAGGTTTCTTTCTGGGATGATGAAAACGTTCTGTAAGTTGAGGTGAGAGCTGCATAACTCCATGAATTGTACACTGTAAAACAGTGGTATGGAAATTACCTCAAGGAAACTGCTTTAAAAAAAAAAAAATCTTTTAGCGTGGTTTCTGGCCACACTTTCTAATTAAATAGTAAAATAAAAACCCTACTGAGTTTCTGGCCTCTATATCATCTCTGAGGGATGGGGTTACCAACCTCTGTGCTTTTCCAACCCATGCTTTGGTAAAAGCCCCCAAACCTCTTTCCTCCAAGTTGCCCTTCCAGCCAGCATCAGGTACATCTTAAACAGATCGCTCAAGTGGGCAGCTGAATCTGAAGTTCCTCAGTCCCAGTAACACTCATCTCAAGAAACAACTCATACACACTGACTTGGGTATTATACATACCAAAAATTATAAAGTGTGTTATAAATACAAGTTGCACAATTTTATTTAAATATTTACTTACCTGTTTTAAATGATATGTACATATATTTCCAGTTTTTTCAACTGGGCCATGAAACCTCCAAATCTATAAAGTCTGTGCCCCAGTACCACACTCCAGTGCCGTGCACACTGCTGGTGTCCAGTGTGGTCCTTTGTTTTGGGGGCTGATACCTTATCACAACGTAAGTGTAGGGGTTACATTCCAGTTTCACCATTTACTTGGCTGTGTGACTTTGGGCAAATTGCTTCAACTGTGTGCCTGTGTTTATTGATTCCTAAAATTAGGTTATCAATACCTGCCTGTTGATTAGCAAAAATACAATGCTGGTGATGCATCTGGTACACAGAGAGATATGAGGCTGCTGTCTGTATATACTGTTCTGTGACAAATTTTTTTCTTCCCTTGAGTAACTGACATTAGCCCTCTTAACTAGCTTTCTCATCTGTAAAAATCTAGGTCAAAAAATCGTTGCAAAGATTCAAGAAAAAAGATGAAAACTCCTAGCACACAGCAAGAGCTCAAAAAATATTCCTTTCTTTTCGGCATCCATGGCTAAGGCGATTTCTTAAGCATCACTCCACAACCCCGCTGTGCTCCCAGGTGAAACTCCATAAATATTGCTGAACAGCTTCCAAACACATCTCTGGACAAACAAGTGATGTCTCCAACAACGCCAACCACAACTCCCCGTCAGGGAGCCGTTTTTTCCAGTCAAGAAAAAAAAAGGTGTACAAGATGTAATGAGTAAAATACACCTACTATCAATCGCCCTTTCCCCCATGACCGCCCGGTCACAGCACAAAGACCATATTTAACACAGACGAAGACTCTCCCTTCTCTCGCCCCACCCATCCAGCTCAGTGGGGAGGTGGTGTCGACAACCGATTGTGGGGCGAGGTCGTGGGGCTCTGGGCTCAAGGCCCGAGACCCAGGAGAGGGGGCGGGGGTGATGGGGGCTGGACAACCTCCGGGAAGCCAGGCACCCGCATTTGTTGTTTGAGGTAGGAAGTCAGGCCTCACCTTTGCCCGCTTGCGTCGGCTGGTGCGTCGCCCCTCCGGAGTCTCCGCTATTCCCGTTTCCATGGGTGTCGCAGACCCAGGTACGACGGTAGGCCCGGATTGAGGCCCGGCGGACCCGAGCGGCTCGGCCAGGCCCCCGGGGGGCGAGGCCCGTGGAGGCTCCTTTTTGCGGGGAGTGCGCTCCCCAGCTGCCCCTGGCCCGGCCTCAGCAGGGCCCGACAGGCCCGCGGGCGGCGCGGCCACCTCTGAGCCGTTCTCGGTGCCGCCCGCTGCCCCGGAGCCAGCCTCTGTCCCGGCAGCTGCCGCAGCCGCCGCCGCGGCCGCTGCTGCCGCTGCTGCCTTCTTCCCGGACAACATCTCGGGTCGCCTGGCCGCCGACGGCCGAAGGGGCCGTTGATTCTGTCGGTCCGTGAGTCCTAAGCCTAGTCACGGAGACTCGCTCCTTTCAGTCCGCGCGCTTCCCGCAGCCGTCGCGTACGCACGCGGTAAGCGCGCTCCCGCGGCGTCGGGACAAAAACGCCCGGAGACGCCCACGGTCCCCGCCCCTTCCCCACTGCCATAGAGCGGCGCATCGCGACTAGAGTGGCGTCGTGACAAAGAGAGCGATGCTTTCCTAGAGCGTCTCCTTTGCTCTTGGTGTCGGTCCCAGCACCTTCCTGGTTCTAGGGCTTCTGGGCCAGACTGCCAGACCGAGGGCGACCATTTCCCTCCAGGGATTTGCATTCTTTCAGTTAATCGTCGATTCAACCAATTATTTATTGATATTTACCACGTGACAAGGATTGAATTATGAAGTTCCTGCTTTCTAAGAGTTTGCAGTCTAGTGAGAGAAAAAGCACACTGAAATGTAACTAGTTGATCAACTTATTTATTCATAATTGTCCTGCTTGGACTGGGAAAAACTTGAAGAGCAAATGAGTTTCAGCGGTTATAAAATGGAGAGAAATCAGGGGATCCAGGTTTGAGTCCAAACGGAATTGCGCTAGCCTCCAGGCTTTCGTTCTTGTCCTTCTGTCTGGACGCACTCCCCGCTTGCACCACCACCCCTTCGCTTATACCCCCCTCCCCCTTCGCGCGCAACCCCTCCCCCTACACACACAACACACCTGTTTCTACGCCAGGTTAATTGTTTCTAACGATAATGATGATGGTGGTTTATTCTTTTGATTATTTCAGGACTCCTTCCCTGACTCAACACTGAACAGTTCTTGTTCTTTGTGTTCTCACACTTATTCCACTTATTACACAGAAGTTCTCATAACTACAATTGCCTTTTTACTAGTTGTTTAAAGGATAATTTTCAAAAAATTATTCCATTTACATGAAGTTCAAGAACTGGTAAAGCTAATCTCTAGCGATAAAATCCTTCAGGGGTTGCCTGGGATGGGGGTGGGGAATTGACTGCAAATAAGCAGAGAACTTGGCTGGTGGTGATGGAAATGTTTTCTATCTTGATTGAGGTGGTGGTTACAGGGGTGTATACGTTTTTCAAAACTCATTGAACTATACACGCGAAGTAGGTTCATTTTATTTGATATAAATTGTACTTCAAGGAAAATGATTTAAAAAAAAAACTAAGCAAATAGGAAGAAAAAAAAGACACAAGTCCCAGAAAAACAAAAAGGTACAAGAAAGGACATGTAATCATAGTAGAACACATGGCTCAGCTGTGAACTATACTGACATGGCCATAATAATATAAACAATGTATTTTTTAACCAACGTGATAAAGTTTGTGGAGCAGAGTATTTAGCGGGATTTACAAAAGGGGGGGGGTGAAGTAGTGGTGGGGGCTGCGTGGAAGCTAAATCCTCATCTTCCATCATAAGAAGATGATTATATATAATATCAAAATTGAAAAATCAACAAATAACAGTGATATTTAGAAATACCAAAAGAAACAGCTGAAAGAGTTGAAAGAAGTTATCTCTGAGGCTTGGAATTAAGGGTGGGAAGGGGTTTGGCAAGTGATGTTTGTTTATTTTAAACCCTGTAGTTCTATCTGAAGGAGCCCTGGTGGTACAGTGGTAAAGTGCTCAGATGCTAACCAAAAGGTCAGTGGTTCGAACCCACCAGCTGCTCCACGGGAGAAAGATATGGCAGTATCAAACCCACTGCCATAGAGTCAATTCTGACGCATAGCGACTGTATAGGACAGGGTAGAATTGCCCCATAGGGTTTCCAAGCCTGTAAATCTTTACCAAAGCCACATCTTTCTTTCGGAGAGTGGCTGGTGGGTGAATTCTACCTTTTGGTTAGTAGCTGAGCTCTTAACCACTGTGCCACCAGGGCTCCCCATGAAGATTACAGCCTTGGGAGGAAACCCTATGAGGCAGTTCTACTCTGTCCTGTACAGTCACTATGAGTTGGAAGCGGCTTGATGGCAATGGACTTTCGGTTAGTTCTATATGGCTTATTAATACCTTTAGTAATTTCATAAAACTTTAAACTGAAAAAAAAAAACAACATATCATCTGACCCAGCAATTCCACTTTCTGGAAAACACTGTGGGGAAATATTTAAGTATGTGTACAAAGATTTAGCTGCAAGGTTGTATATCTCAGGTTATATATAATAACAATAAAGGCTCAACAAGTGGCGACTAATTTAATATATTGAAATATCAAGTGGAATATTACATAAAATGGAATATTACACAGCCATTAAAAACTGATATTTTAACATGAAAAACTCCCATACAAAAAATACAGTGAGCACATGTCGAAGATTTATTTAACTTATTATTGAGGGAACCAGCAGGATGCAAAACTCGTTCAAAGGAAAATATGAAAAACTGACATATGGTCATTGGCCAGTGGAAAAAAGCATACTGAAATAAGATTGCAGGTTAAAAAGGAAAAAAAAAAGGTTATGTTCTATGAGGTCATAAATCTGTAAACTTTGACATTATCTTTTCTATTAGGCAGAACTCATTTGCATCTATTGGCAAAAAAAAATTATTTGCAACTTATCTATTTTTTATAAATTAGTATCTAACTTTACAGAGTCAGGGCCCTAATGTATAGTAAATAGTAAGTCAAACAAAGTTTGTTGTTGTGTGCCGTCAAGTGGATATTCAACTCATAGTCCCCATGTAACAGAGTAAAACTGCCCTGTAGGGTTTACAGGGGCAAATGGCCAGGTCTTTCTCCCCGGGAGCCGCTGGTTAGCAGCCAAGCATTTAACTGTTGCGCCACCAGGGCTGCCATCAAATCAACCCAGACTTATGGTGACCCCCTGCACAATGGAACAAAATGACGGCCGGTCCTTTGTCATCCCATGACCACTTACGGATCAGGCTATCGTGATCCACAGGGTTTTCATTGGCTGATTTTTGGAAGTACATTGCCAGGCCTTGCTTCCTTATCCATCTTAGTCTGCAAGCTCCACTGAAATCTGTTCAGCATCATAGCCACCTGCAAGCCTCCACTGACAGACAGGTCGTGACTGCGCACGAACGAGGTGCATTGGCTGGGAACCGATTGTCAGGTGACGGATAGGTCGGCTTGTTAGGTAGTATTTTAGTATGACTTTGAAAAGGCATGCAGTAATCTTTTTGCTTTATTTCCAAGGTCTGGATAATTCTTCTTCAAAGTCTTTCCCACTAGATCACGGAGCCCTTGAGGGTTGTTGTTAGGTGCCGTTGAGTTAGTTCCAACTCATAGGGATACTATCTACAACGGAATGAAACACCACCCAGTCCTGCGCCATCCTCACAATTGTTGTTATGCTTGAGCCCATTGCTGCAGTCACTGTGTCAATCCATCTTACTGAGGATCTTCCTCTTTCTCACTGACCCTCTACCAAGCATGATGTCCTTCCCCAGGGATTGATCCTTTCTGATAACATGTCCAAAGTATGTGAGACGTAGTCTTGCCATCCTTGCTTCTAAGGAGCATTCTGGCTGTACTTCTTCCAAGACAGATTTGTTCGTTCATCTGGCAGTCCCTAGTATATTCAATATTCTTTTTGCCAACACCACTATTCAAAGGCATCAATTCTTCAGTCTTCCTTATTCACTGTCCAGCTTTCACATGCATACAAGGCGATTGAACACACCATGGCTTGAGTCAGGCGGACCTTAGTCTTCAAGGTGGTATTTTTGCTTTTTAACACTTTAAAGAGGTCTTTTTCAGCACATTTTCCCAATGCAGTGTGTCATTTGATTTCTTGGCTGCTGTTTCCAGGGGTGTTGATTGTGGATCCAAGTAAAATGAAATCCTTGACAACTTCAATCTTTTCTCCATTTATCATGATGTCGCTTATTGGTCCAGTTGTGAGGATTTTTGTTTTCTTTATGTTGAGGTGTAATCTATACCGAAGGCTGTGGTCTTTGATCTTCATCAGTAAGTGCAGCAAATCCTCTTCACTTTCAGCAAGCAAGGTTGTGTCATCAGCATAACACAGGTTGTTAATCAGTCTTCTTCCAATCCTGATGCCCCATTCTTCTTCACAGAGTCCAGCTTCTTGTATTATTTGTTTAGCATACAGATTGAATGAGTATGGTGAAAAGATACAACCCTGATGTACACCTTTCTTGACTTTAAACCACACAGTATCCCCTTGTTCTGTTGGAATGACTGCCTCTTGATCTATGTACAGGTTCCTCATGAGCACAATTAAGTGTTCTGGAATTCCCATTCTTCACAATGTGGTCCATAATTTGTTATGATCCACACAGTTGAATGCCTCTGCATAGTCAATTAAACACAGGTAAACATCTTTCTGGTATTCTCTGCTTTCAGCCAGAATCCATCTGACATCAGCAATGATATCCCTTGCTCCACGTCTTCTTCTGAATCCAGCTTGAATTTCTGGCAGTTCCCTGACCCTTGAGGGTAAGGACTCTGTATTATTTTATTCTCAGTGGCTAGGCCCAGAAGTACTGTTGAATGAATGAGGTATTGGTAAGGCCTACATCACCTGGCTGTTGTGAGGGCACAATGAGATAATGCTTGCAAACTGCCTGTCAAAGAGCCTGGCATATAGTGGGAGCTTAAGACATAGGAGTAGCTAATAGTATTGTTATGCGGCAGCTGATGGGGGGTTATGACTCAGAGGAGTGGGAGGGCGTGACTACTGTCATGGAGGCCAACTGTCCTAGAGGGGGACTGAGTCAGGGTCCTAGGGCCAGTGTGCCTCCAAGCTGTAATGCTGGGGGCTCTAATTACTCTTTTTAGGGGTATCCATGAGATACTTGCTTCTTCAGGCAGCATGGGAGCAGTGGTGGCGTGGCTGATCAGCTATAAGCCAGCCTTGTTTGGGTTCCTGTTCTTTCTGCTGTTGCTTAGCAACTGGCTGGTCAAGTATGAACCCAAGCCCACCCCCTCAGAGCCCCAGCAGGTGAGCAAGAGTTGGCTTAGCTTCAGCTAAGGTCTATGGGATGCTTACAGCTAGACTGGGGGATGGGAAGGTAAGGGGGGGTGTTGGGATAATGGGGCAAGACTCAGGAATCCAAGACTCTGGCTTTAGTCCCTGCTCTGCAGCTTCCTCTTGGATAATTATGGATAACTCCCCTGCACAAGGCCTCAGCTGCCTCAATTGTAAAACAGAGGCTCTGCCAGAGTCTCCTCCTTCATGTTTGATGTCAAAGTGCTTTGGCAACATAATAACTACTTTAAGATGGAAAGAATTAAAGTGGATGAAATAGAGGTAGTTTATCAACATAGAAACATCTTTAAAGTGTAATAATGAAGACAGCAGAAATGTACATAAATTATGACATCTTTTATATAAAGTTAAAAAGCATGCAAAACAATATTCTACCTTATTTATGGAAACTCTGGTAGCGTAGCGGTTAAGTGCTACTGCTGCTGACTAAAAGGTCGGCAGTTTGAATCCACCAGACACTCCTTGGAATCTCTATGGGGGCAGTTCTACTCTGTCCTGTAGGGTCGCTATGAGTCGGAATCAACTGGACGGCAACGGGTATTCATGGATACATGTGTGCAGTGAAAGTATTTTAAGGCAGAGTCTCTCAACCTCGGTACTATTGACATTTTGGGCTTGAGACTGTTGGCGGAGACTGTCCTTTGCATTGTTGGGTGTTTAGCAGCATCCCTGGCCTCTATCCACTAGATGTCAGTAGCGTGCTCCC